GACTGGACAAACGGAGCACCACACCCAACCAGCAGCCACGCTGACATGATTAAACTCTTATTATGAAACTAATATTAAACAGGCAGAGTGTTTCAGTCGTGCACGTGTCACTGTTTGGTTAGAAGTTATAACTGCAGATCCAATAATTCTCAGTCGGGTCATCTGGACAGTTTCTTTTTTATACAAATGTTTGTTGTTATAACTGCAGATGTCTCTTTTTTAACTCCGGGTACATCTTTCAGTCTTTCTGTCACGCAGCTCTTATAAAATCTGAATAACGTTCCCTTGTGTGTTTGTGGGTCTCCCCTGCACTCGAGTGCTCCTGATGATGAACGGTCCGTGTTGCAACATGGACGCTTGTAAGAGCTGCTGGGATCGCAGCCTGATGGGAAGAGGATCTGGACTGGCAGCGATGCAAACGGGGAGTTCAGCGTATCGATTCTGGGCGCGTGCGCGCACACCTTGGGGAGAAGCAAAAGGCTAATTTAAGTGCTTCCCAACTGGTGATTATTGGAGCGCTCTGCTTCTGTTCCCACAGCTGCTGCAGCCGAGCAGCTCTTTAATTACAGCGTGAGGACACGATGGCGCTGCGCCACTGGCTAACGGAGGCCGCTCCAACAGAACGCTGTGTTTAAAGGAGGACGCGCCCGCCAGCACTTGTTATGTGAACAACAACGTTTTCAACTAGAAAGTTCCTGTAGGAACTTACTGCCACGTGGCAGCCATTTTAAAATGTTGATTTGACCGTAGTGTGTGTTGGAGTTCACTCTCGACTACCATCATTCACAACATGGCAAAAAAAGAATTCATCAGTTATAGTCATTTTATCTTTGAAGGTACGGTGGCCATCTTGGATTTTTGATTTGGCCTCAGCATGTGATGAGAACGTTCTCAGCTGTAACCTCACACGTTTCATCTCTGTATGTGTAGCTGAGTTAAAGCCATTTAAATGTAGCTTTGGTGGCCATCTTGACATTCTTTTCATTCAGTATTTGTTGCTCTCAGCCATCACCACAGCAAAGATCTGCTTGATATCTCTAAAATTGGCTGATTTAAAGTATTTTTTCCTTTTAGCTAAGGTGGCCATCTTGGATTTTTAATTTGCATTAAAAATGTATAACTCTCCCTCAGCTACGACCAAACTAAATCTCAACTCAATATCTCAAAGATGACTGAGTTATAGTCAATTAAGAGTTTTCTGAGCTAGCTGTGGCAGCCATCTTGAACCAAAATGGCTCCAAAAGTTAATCGTGTTTTGTTCAGAGAGCTCTCTCTCCAGGTCATGTGACGTCACTGTGTCAGAGGCTGTTCAGAGTTCTGTCAGTGTTTTCAATGAGAAAAATGGCGTCTTTGTTTACAAATTACGTCTCCATGGTAACTGGAAACACCTGTAAAAGTAACAGCACACGTCACGGTGCTGAGCCGGTCGTCTTGATACAACATGTGTGGGGGGACACGTTGAGGTTCAGACCACATTAAAGCTGATAGAAGAGCAGGACCTCTCAGGTGGATAAGAACAGTCAGGACTTTTAAATGTGCCGTAGACGAGCGAGACCATGAGCCGCTCAGGTGCAGGAAACAAAGTCCGACAGCTTCATTCATGACTTCTGTCCACAGAGTCAGATGGAGTCTCTCGTCTAACGGAGCTTTTTCTGCCTTTTTGTCCTTACAGGGACCTGTCCAACAACAGGATCGGCTGCCTCTCACCTGAAATGTTCCTTGATCTGAGCAGCCTTTCCAAACTGTGAGTACGGCAGAAACACGATCCTCACTTCACTGTAGGGTCCAGGCCCCGTGTGCACGTCCGTGGATGCTACTGGCGTTTTCTGTTGGGTTTGCTTTGCCAAGCCGAGGTCTGGTGAGAAAAAAGCTTTTTAGAGGTGGAACTGAAAAAAGAAACCAGATTCTGATGGCTCAGCTGGTTTCATGCGCATCCACGATGACTTTATGCCTGAAAACTAAAAACGATGAAGCTGTTTACGTCTTTTTAAGAAAAATTGATGTCACTTGATCCAAGACCTCTGAACATATCCAGAAACTATTCATGAATGAGAGCAGTTTATAAATGGTATCAATGCAAAAACACGTTTGTGGAGACATTTTTTCATTTCTACAATCCCACAAGGCCTCAGCGACACGTGGCTTCCTCTGTAAACAGCAGGGAGTGACACACGTAGCACTTAGCAAGATGGCAGCCATAAATCTCACCCAGTGCCAGTAGTGGTCATCTTAGCCTTTCTGTTGGAGTGAAGCTAATTTTTGTCTGTTTGTGTGGATGTTCTCACCTCCTGGTGGTGTGCTACGACTTTTGAATAACAGAGAAAATGTGAATTTAATATCTGGATTAAATTACGTGGCCTTACTTTAATCTGTAAACACAACAGCAGGATGTTGCCGTGACCTCTTCCTGTTTGTGTCTCTAACAGGAACTTATCTGGGAACATCTTCTCCACTCTGACGACGCGACTCTTCACACATCTGTTAGCTCTCAAAGTGCTGTAAGCAAAAACCGTTAGTGCAGTTCAAAAGGTTTTTCATTCATTTAAATAAAACAATAAAATAAGTGAGCTGCTGTAATTTGTTTACCTGTTAGCCTAAAAAGTGATCAGACTAGTTGCCAGATGAGCACATCTGGAAATGGAACAACTAAACCTGTTTGTCCCTCTCCAGGCACTTTGCATCTGACACGTTGTTCTGCGACTGTCAGCTGATGTGGCTGCTCCTCTGGGCCCGGCAGAACTTTGTGAGGATCGGAAACGGAACCGTCTGTGTTCACCCGACGCACCTGCACGGCCTGGAGTTTCACAGACTGAGAGAGCAGCAGCTCACCTGTGGTAACTCTTTATTTCTCTAACTGTGTGAGCCTAACTCCA